GAAATATACAAGATTATTATTATCCCAATTTTAATCTTTATATTTTATACTACTATAATCTTTACTAGCATAAAGATTGTGGTAGACTCCGGCGTTGTTCGTGTGTCAAAGTTAGAGACCGGACGCTTGAACGGTTACGTTTGCACTTTCAACGCTCTTCCTACGACCTCTTCGTTTTTACCGCTTACGGAGAAATGTATAAATTTCTTACTCACTATAAGTTTTAGTACGTGATTCTGGGCAAGATAATCATGTTAGGATGTTAAAAATTTTATATTCCGCTGCCTATCCTTGCATGGTTACCTTTCAGTGGTATCAGAGCCAACGTACAAAACTATAGTTTTACGTTTGACTTTTAAAATTTTAAAAGGCAAAGTTTTAACTTGGTAATTATTAAAATTCAAAAATTGGTAAAATGACTTTATTTAGTCTTGGAATAAGTATTGGACTTAAATAAATCATTGAGAATGAATTTTAAATTTATTTATTTTATTTCTACCCGTAATATATATATATATATATACATATATTTTGATTTTTTGAAATATATATTTATATATATTGTAGAAATAGTAAATATAATTTTATTTGGACATACAACATAATTTTATGATTGATAAAATTATATTGTAATTTTTGAATGCATTATTTCCTATTTTGAATTTATTGTATTTATTTAGGTCAAAACCGAAAATAAATATGGAAAATTCAAAATGAACTTTATTAAACTTGGAAATATTATTTCTAAGTTCAATAAGGTTGTTTATAAATATATTGTTCAAAATAATATTAGTTAGTAATTAAATAAATATATATTTATATATGTACTCGGTTTTATTACCGAAATATTATATATATTTATATATTTGTATTTTAATTACATAAATGACTAATATATATTTTGGAAAGTTATATCTCAGCAAGAAAAAGAATGTTTTTCAAAATATTAAATTTTTATAATTTAATGTTTTCGAAAATAATTTAAATGGCATTTTATAACTTATTGAGATTTAACTAATATATTTTGGAAATAATGATTTATAAATTTTGGAAGTTTTATTTCCAGGTTTATAAATGTTGAAAATAATTACTGGAAGTTGAAATTTAATTTTCATGATTTTTGAAAAATTGTTTCAAAATTTTAATGGCCTTTTTGAATATAATTTTGCAAAAGGGCATTTTGGTCATTTGAAATATTCTGGATTTTTTTTATGCTGGACGAATATCCAGATTATATAAAATGATTGTATAAAATTTTATTAGATTTATTTGGACATCTAGTTTAATTTTATGAGTTTTAGAAAATATTTACTGTCGTAGTATTTTTCTAGAACTGTCTGGGGTGAGCGCGGTTCACCCGGTGTATGTATATCTCTATTTCTTGTGTGGATGTATGATATGCATTGTGGATGATTGTGGCTATAGTTTAATTGATTATAATACGGCCTACGTGTCGTGCCTTATCTCATAAACTCTTGTTGTAAATCTATTTCTCTCTCTTACCTCAACCGAGGATTCTTTTCTCACATGGTGGTTAGAAGACAAAAAGATTTGAAGACCGTTTGAAGAAATCTAAAAGAATGGAGATAGCCTGAAGTCCAAGTGCCCGGAAGCCAGTGGGAGCTATCGTTTTATTTTTCTTTTAGGGCCACAATCATTACACGTTTATTTACTGCGTTTTGAGAATGCATGTTGAACGCTAGTAATGAACATGTGCGCGGCCATGTCGATAGGTGAGATCGAAGTTATAAATCCCTCACGAATATTAAGTCTGTTGCCTTCTGACGCCCGACACCTATCCGGCTAATATGCACTGTCACGTACTCAGCCTCAGCAGAGCATAGTACGGTGTATGTTAAGCTGGTTACGGGAACCGCCATAGCGTGGTCGCTGTCGCAGGTTGGGTTAGACTTAACTGAGTCTCGGTCAAATGGATGGACGACTCAGAGGCAGTAAGTTGGGGTCATCAATGACAAGTCGGATGATTTTACTCACTCATCCAGCCAAGAGTTGGATCTTTATGATTTAATTAGAACTCTGTTCCTAACCAAAGTAGTCTGCTTGTAAGACGTGCCTCAGCCAATTACAAGTACGGTGAAAAGGTGTCCTGGTCCAATTGTAGTAATATTGTTCGCCCAACACCAGACCAAGAGCTGAGAGCCCGGCTCATCAGTTGGAACTATGTTCCTACCAAAATAGTTGTCTTGTGGAGTAACGCCCAAGCGAACGCAAGATAATGAAATATGGATCTTGGCCCACTAGAGGTTTCGCCGGAAATCTCCGAATCAATATCGAGGGTTATTGATTTGTTAAAAATAGTGGGAGATAATTAATTAAAGGCCTAATTAATTATTAAACATGATAGATAACCTAGTTTGCAAAATTTTCTGTAGATGGCAAACAACAACAACCCTTTCAACCTGCGATATGTTCTAGAAAAGGAAAAATTATCTGGAACCAACTTTCTTGATTGGGAGATGAATCTNACACGTTTATTTACTGCGTATTTTGAATGCATGTGAATGAATGTTAAACGCTAGTAAATTGACACGTGTGCGGCATGTGTCGTAGGTGAGATCGTAATTAAAATTAAATCCCTATCGAATATTAAGTTTGTATGCCTTTGGGCACCCGACACCTTTCTGGCTAATCTGCACTATCACGTACTCAGCCTCCGTTGAGTGTAGCATGGTGTATGTTATGCTGGTCCTAGAAACCACCATGGACGTGGTCACGTTCAGACGTTGGGTTAGACTTAACTAAGTCTCGGTTAAATAGGTGATGATTTAGAGGCGGTTTTGTTGGGGTCATTACATGACAAGTCGAATGGTTTTACTCGTTCATCTAGCCAAGGAGTTGGATCTTTATGATTTAATTGGAACTCTATTCCTAACCAAGTAGTTGGACTTGTGGAGAGAGCCCTAGCCAAATGCAAGTTCAATGAAGGTGCCCTGGTCCGGTTGTAGTAAAATAGTTCGCCCAACAAAAGACCAAGAACTGCGAGCGCGGCTTGTCAGTTGGTGTTGGAGTTGTGCCCTGATGGCCAACTGTTTATCATTATTCTATCATGTATAGGCAGATATAATATGTTTACACATCTCATGCTAATGTAAACAAATATTATATTCCAAGATTTATATTTAAAGGTGTTTATCAGATAGTGTTATTCTGCTGATGAGACTAACATCTTGAAATAAATATTTATCTAAATGTCCATAGTCGAGTATTAACGAGAGTGGGATATCGTTAATGCATGTGAGACTAGTGTGTGTTGGATGTTTGACTTAGTCTCATAGTCAATGACGGTGTGTTCGCATCCGCACATGGGCAGATATTATCTAGAGATAATAGGATGCCGGACTGACCCATCCTAAAGATGTTGCTTGAATTTTTAGTTCATGCTCTAAATATATTTAGCGCGACCACGGGTGTAACTATCCTTCGACTTGAAGTATTACGTTTTCTGCATATGTGAACCCGCATACTTTGATGCATTGTCCTAAGCCATATGAAATAAGGATGGTATACAGGCTTTGTTTTGGGTATGCCGCAGCGCATATTCAGAAACGTATATTACGTACATAGGATTTGTCACTACTCTTTTTAAGAGATTAATGTCTTATGCGGCCCACTGATAAGTTATGATTGAGGAAATTGCATGGCCATGCTGAGATGTTTTTATGACGTCTGTTCCTATCAGTCAGACTTGATAAATCAGTGAATGACTTAATGGATACAAGCTGGATTTTATTAATCCCTTGCATTAAGTTTAGACATTGAGACAAAGGGATACAGTTACACGGAGTCTGAGTCGTG